CCCATTGTTGTGTAAAGGTGTGTTCTGAATTTCACCTGATATACCATGTGACATTTTGGACTGTTTTTGAATAAATTGTGGTCTCTAAAGAAAGAAAAAGCCATTTTGGGCAACATTTTTTGTTGTAGTAGTTGTTGTTGTGGCTACTTCAAATCAAATCAAATCAAATCAAATTTATTTATATAGCACAGTATCACAACAAACAGTTGTCTCAGGGTGCTGCACAAAAGTCCAAGATCTTAAGAAACACAAAATCCAACTNGGGGGGGGTTGAGTCAAGTGTCAGGTCAGGGGCTTGAATCCAGCCCGGGAATCTCCATATGGACATTCGCATGGTCTTCCAAGGGTGCGGTGGTCCCCCCTGGCACTCCTGCCTCCCTCATGGTCCAACATGTGCAGTAGTAGAACCCATGGCTCCAAAGGTGAGAGGTCCTCAGGTGAGAGTGCTGGTGGTTGCGTAACCCTCCATGTCAGCCCCGCGACAGACCGCCGACCTCACCAGGTACATCCCTCATCATGACCCGAGCCAGGACGGGCACGGGTCATGATGAGGGAGAGCCACACAGTATGGACCAAGGAGTGGAGGAGAAGACCCAAGGAGGTAGAGATATGTAATAAGATATAACAAAATAAACCAGGCAGAGAGTGAAGAAGAGAGAAGGTGCTGGTTTCTGGTGCCTGATGGGTGATCCCCCAGCAGTGTAGGCCTATAACAGCATAGCTATGGATGACTATGGTTCAGGGTTGAGCTAAAAGCTTTATCAAAAAGGAAGGTTTTAAGTCTAGCCTTAAATGTAGAGACCATGTCTGCCTCCCTCACTGAGAGTGGGAGCTGGTTCCAAAGGAGAGGAGCTTGGTGACTAAAACGTTCTACCAGCCTGTGGAGGTGAAGGGGCGGAGAGAGCACCTTCACCTGCACCACTGAGGATCAATCAGCACAGGTGAGAGCTGTTAGCTGATTGATCCTCAGACTTTAAAAGGAGGCAGCAGAGCTGCCTCGAGAAGACACACTGAGAAGAACGCACAAGACACTCGAGAAAACACACTGGGAAAGAGAACGCACAGGACGCACTAAGAATACACTTGGGGAGAAGACACTGGAGACTGGGGTGAAGCTGAAGGTCCAGCAGATAGTGCTGGACCTGTTAAGTTCCATGTTTTGTGTATGTTTCAGTTTGACCTTAAATAAAGAAAGATGCTAAACAAGCAATGGTTGGACTGGTTCGTCTCTGGCTGTCGGGGTGGAACCCGGTGGCGTGGTCGAATGCCACACAGCCATTCTACTCTTAGTAACTCTAGGCACTACAAGGAGTCCAGAGTTTAGGGAGCGAAGTGGTCTGTGGGGGCAGTAAGGGCTTAAGAGCTCTTTAATATAGGATAAGGCCTGATTGTTGAGGGCCTTATAAGTTAGAAGGAGATTTTTGAAATCTATCCTCTGTTGAACAGGGAGCCAGTGAAGTTGAGCTAAGACAGGATCCCATCTTCTGGTTCCTGTCAGTACTCGTGCAGCAGCGTTCTGCACTAGCTGAAGGGTTCTTAAGGATCCGCTGGGACATCCTAGGGAGTTGCAGTACCTCTGAAGCACTTCTACTACTCTAGATGTAATAAAGGCATGAATCCGTTTTTCAGAATCCTGTTTTGACAGGATGTGTCTGATTCTCTTTATATTGCGCAGATGAAAGAAAGCTATTCTGGAGGTTTAACTAATTTGTTGGGTAAATGACAGTTTAGAGGTTGGCAAAATTCACACTTATGCAACATTAATGAAGATGTGTTAAAGAAAAACATTTATTGTGAAAATAATTAAGGTTTAAACAAACTATCTAACTGAAGGTGTACTTCCTTTATACAGATGTGGGGATGTTTATGTGAGTTTGCGTTTCAAAATGGTGGTTGGCCAGTATGAAGACAAAATGCCCCCTATTGTGGTGGGGTCATGTGGCTGAGATCACGTGTTTGTGTTAAGTTTGGGGAGATGTGTGTGTAAGGTGTTGGTGCCAGGTTAGAGAAAGTAGTTAGTTGCATGCAAAGAAAGTCTGATTCTATGAAGAGCATAACAGAACTAACATTAGTTTTCGAATAACATATTACCCAATTTCACAACAACACAAACCAAACTTATAAAACATCACATGAATATTATTCAACAGTCCTGTGCATAGCCTAGTGCAAATAGCCCAGTTTTGTTACCAGTTCATGAAAAGGGAGAAAGGTCCTTTTTGAGGTGCTGAGGTTACTTGTTTTGGCTCCTGTTGTCATGCTTCTGCTGGTCAGACCTTGTGTTGTGGCCAATTGCTCATGCTAAAGTTCTTAGGCAGTCTTTTGGTTTGCTGCATTTTGAAAGGTTTTAGCAGTTTGCTTCAGGCAGGCCTGCTTGGAACTCATAGAGCTTGGTTCGGGATAATGTCTCCCTGGCTGGGTGAGCAGGAGAGCAACACCTCTCCTCCCAGAGAAGTCAGTAGAAAAGAGATACCCATATCTCCTCCAGGAGAAAGAAAAGAGAAGAGTGGAACTGGTCTTTTATTGGCAATGTGACCTCATGGGTCATGGTTGAAAGTTGTGTCCTGGGGGGGTTGTTTTAACACCTTGATGTGAAGTTGAAGCACCCTGGGAGACGTGAGTTCTAGAAGCTCTCCTTTGTCTCCAGAACAAAGAAGACATTTCATTGCAGGCTTTGGCTACACATGCAGGTCCACAAATACTAGGTCCCAACAATTTCTCTAAAACAAAAAGTAGAGACATAACTCGCCATCAGATTCTTTAGTGATGCCGCTCCCTCCATCAGTTTCTGGGGAACTGCAATAATGAGCGGTTTTGGCCAAAGAACTACTTGATCTTCCCTCTTGTGTCAACCCACTGTTAGAATTAGAATTATATCCTGTTATCTTTGCTAGCATCTCTAGGGCAAATCTAGTCAAGAAAACAAATTAGTTTCTGCGATAACGAAGCAATTGTGCTTTTATATTTTCTGTTCAAATCTCAAAACATGCAACCTTCTTCCACCAAAGCTTTCGTCACAGGTATTCAGTAAGTTAAGATGCAAAGATCCTTCAGTATGTAGCCTGCTCAAGAATCCCTCCATTTGTCTCCTTTTCAATGGCCTTAAAAAAATAACATCCAGGAAGTAACCAAAAGTGCCTTCCACTCTCGTCACCTTCGGCTTTAAGTGGATCACCAGCTGTCCAGTGATCCACTTAAGGCTCTGAGTTTTGGTCGTGTGTAGGTGCTTTACTAGAAGCCATATTCACGGCTGCTTTCGCAGGTTTCTCAGGCGCGGTGAAATCACTACCGCCTTCGACACTTGGATGTTCTCAATCCACCTTAAACACTCAAAATCTGATAGAGAGGCAAAAGGTTCAACAACGTTATATCACAACTAGCATCTGCTTCTGTTCCCTATCTTCTATAACCCGACTTCTCCAATAGCGTCCTCGAGTGACTCAAGATGAACTCCTGTTACCCAATGAAAAAGGAAAGGCCACGTCAGGATCTTGGTTCACGTCTCGCCTTCACCTACTCTGCAAATTAAGTGGACTCCCGTCCACTTCCTCTCTCTCTTTTCTCTCTTTCCTTTTTTGAAAACCAGATTTTATCTTACTAGGCAGCATGGCCATCACTGTAGTTCTGATACATCTACTGACTGCTACTAAACACCATCACCGATAAGTGCGCTAAGGCAGGACCAAACCATTCCATGTAGATACAGGGGGGTGGTCGATCAATATGGATGTTTGGATGGATGATTTGAAAACTATATATATATATTCAATGATGATGGTTTAATAATTTTTTATTATTTTGACCTATATGAGTTATGGGGCCCCTTGCTGACATATACCAGTAACTCATATACCAGTAATATGTTCTGTCACAGAATGCACAACTACATTCTTTAGTCAATAATTTTAGAGGTCTTCAGCACGCTTGCTGCAACACATAGTTATTTCACATAACAGTATTATGTTCTCTTGCGGAATGCATACTTAGATTCTTTAGTCAGTACATTTAGAGGTCTGCAGCATGCTTGCTGCTACACAGATGTTTCACTTAACATTAGTATGGCCTCTCGCAGAATGCATGCCTGCATTTTTTAGATTATTTCAGAGACCAGCAGCATGCTTGCCCCCCATTTGCAACAAATGGATAAATCATGACAAAGTGTTCCTAACTGAAATGAAGCATTGTGTTAGTTCATGCAGGACAGGGAGTCATGTGCTCAGCTGTCTGCTACAGATAGGTTTATGGGTGCTCGTCAGTTACCCACCAATCACAGCCCATTCTCTCACCAAAGCGGTCCCTTTAAATATGACCTTATCCTCACTGATCCCTGCTCAGCAACACTGCCATCCAGACCAGCTGACGGCAACTTGCCTCCACCACCCCATCCTCCACCTTTTAGCATCGAGTCCAAACATGGTTGTGGTAAATGATATTCATCTTAAACAAATGTAACTTTCCTGCTACGCCCAACAGGGGGTTCTGCATACGTTCCCTGTTTTATTTTAGCACACTGCTCGGCTAATCCAGGGAACATCCAAAGAATGGAGCCTTCAGCGCCAATCATAACTTTATCCCCATTTGCAATAAATGGACAAAGTGTTCCTTACTGAATGTTTATTATAATCAATCTCTAAATAATCACCTGTCTCTATGGATGCTGAGTGAATGCTAAATGTCTAGGATAGTCCTTAATGGTTTCAATAATTAAATAATAATAAATGCAATGAAGAGATGAATTGAAGCTGTCAGTATCACACATTTGAATGCCACCCTCTTGTTATTTACTCATTCTCTATTTCATATGGAGCAACTGAGTCCCTCAGGCAGTATGAATGTAGGCCAGTGTTTGTGTAGCACTCATTGAAAGGGACTAGTAGCCCACTGTTAACCACACAATAGCAGTCCTGTGTACACTCCTCCATCCAATTGTTATTTTTGTAAACACTGCATGGGTATGGAAATCTATTATAATCTTGAACTCTGTTGTCCCTCCTCCTCAGGGCTGTGGGTAAGACCTGTCTGCTGATTAGCTACACCACCAATGCCTTCCCTGGTGAATACATTCCTACTGTGTGAGTAAACCTATACTGCACATTTTCTCACAATTATTTGATGTAAGCAAAGGTTTAATAGGACCATACCATAATTAAACTCTATGTCAATATGTTGTATATGCTGAGATAATTAAAATCTTTCACCCGTGAGTAGGATTTTGCCACACTGGTATACTATACTATCAGTAAAATACTGCAAATCAATAAACATAATTGATTCAAGATTTCAGACATTTAACTTACAGGATTGAATGAAAACAAACCTGTCAGGTAGGTTTCAAATTCGGGGGAGCCCTACTTTCTATGTGCAACAGTCCATCTCACATGCGTGAGCTTTCTGCTTCTAATACACAACTTCAAGAACAACACACCACTTGAATAAAAACTGCTGAGGATTATTCATTATTTCTGACTACAACGAAAGAAAACAGCTGCAGCAGTGGCTTGCCTCTCCCTAAATACAATGAAGAGATGAATTGAAGCTTCATCAACCAGGAGTGATGTCCACTCCTGGTTTATGAAGTTCGTTCTTGATTGTACAAAAAGTAGTTTCAGTCATGGTGCTGTGTTGATCTGTTTTCAAACATATTTTACCATCTTCATCAGCTAAATTGTCATGCATTGGCTAAAGGGTTGACCCAGATTAGATAAGATGAAATCTATTGATCCCAGTTGGGAAATTGTTGAAGTGTGAATCAATGGTCCTGTCAATAAATATATAAGACCTGAGCACCTTTTATGGCTTCAGCATCATATGCATGTCACATGATGACAACTGAATCAATTCCATGACAACTTAGCAAACTTTGTGGGGGCGAGATGTGTTGAAAAATACTTAGTAAGTTGACCTTGATGTAAGATTTCTTCTGCCTAAACATAACCTAAATATTCTCTATAACAGCTTTGATTTTTTTGATTTTTTTTTACGATGATATTTGATTTGAGTGCATGAGGCACAGCCTCACATGAAAAGTCTACTATCTAGACTGAAAACAGTGGGGAACCGCTGGCCTGACTATGTCCCCAATACCTCTGAAGCACTTCTACTAATAATGTGACATTATGTTTGTTCAAACTGTACAAAAAATTGTTGCATGTTTGACCTGTTATCAGCCCAATATTTTTGTACTGCTTTACAACTTCCACAACCTGACCATAAAGCCCTGCAGGAGAGATGACATTTGGGTTCTACTTAAAAACTATAATCTTCTCCTTGATTTTGGATTAATATCTAAAATGTAAGACTCAGACCAGTTAGAAAAAAAAATTTCGCTACAGGGCCATGATCATCGTCATCAGATCCAAATTGAAAAAAAGAGTCTACACTAATTATTTAGTTCCACACAAATTATTTACTTCCATGAACCACTATGTTTGAAAGTGCAACAAAATCCAATGTATTTTTACCCTTTCCCTGAACAGAACTGCATTCACTCAACGTAATGTCTTTCCTTCAGCTTTGACAACTACTCTGCTAATGTGATGGTCGATGGGAAACCAGTGAATCTGGGCCTTTGGGACACAGCAGGACAGGAGGACTA